TATCCTGTGTTTCATCGGCCATAATGCTCCAATATTTAGGAATGCAATTCAATATTCTTTCTCGAATTTCTGATTCACATAATGAAATAATTTCATTTTGAAACTGTAGAGAAGTGTACTTCGAATTTGACTTTACCTTTTTGAGGTGTTCACACAGATCTGGATCAAACTTGCTCTTCCATTCTACAAAGAAGGAGAATGGTAGGTTTCTGTAGCATCTGTGTCAGTGCAGAATGTGTCAGAAGCAGTCATCGACCAGGCTATGGCATCTTCTATGCTTTCAACCGGGTCCAGTGTAGTTGGACGCTCATTCTCCATTTCTTTGAGCAGTGATGGAAGTTGATGGAACATTATCGCTGAAAGAACAAAACTCAATCTTAATTCATTCGTTCGAATAAGCATCAATAAGGATTAATGAGGATTAACTGTTGTAAAAACGTTGTAATCAAAGGGACGTAACAAAGGCACCAGCGGTTCACTGTTGGACATTTATGTAATACATGTTCGTTTTCCTCCCAACCAGCTTAACGTAACTCCTACCAGTTCTATCAGTCTCCCCTTGACCTCATCCCATAAATATGAACCTCGCTTTGTTGTTACGTATGACTGTTACATGATTAAGAGAACCGTACAAATTTCTCACTGTACAATGAATCAAAGTGCAATATTTACCTTGTCTTTTTGAAGAACATTACTTTGATGTACATTTGCTTCGGTGTTTTTGGTTTGCTTGACAGGTTTGGGCAAACGAAACGTCCACACCAGAGGGAAACAGTGCATCTACCACCATTCATCTGAATATAACAAATCAGAATGACAACAGTCCCAACTTTACCATGTCAGAATACAGCGCATCTGTCCAGGAGGGTAGCAGCTTCTCCACATCTGTCATCACCGCCAAGGTATTTGTAACAATGTAACATGTAACTCCACGTACATTGCCTACAGCATCTGTCCAGGAGGGTAGCATCGTCTCCACATCTGTCATCACCGTCGAGGTATTTGTAACAATGTAACATGTAACTCTACGTACATTGCCTACAGCATTTGTCCAGGATGGTAACATCGTCTCCACATCTGTCATCACCGTCAAGGTATTTCTATCCATGTAACCTCAGCCACAGTCTCTACACCAGGAGATTCCCAGAAGGATAGTAAGGTTTCCATAAATGTCCTCACCGTCAAGGTACGTCTAACATTGTCACATGTAACCTCAGCCACAGTCTCTCTCCACCAGGAGATGTCCAGGAGGGTAATAAGGTCTCCATAAATGTCATCACCGTCAAGGTACGTCTAACATTCTCCCCTATCATCTTTAGCCAGTCTCTACACCAGGGGATGCCCAGGACGATAATAAGGTCTCCATATATGTCATCACCGTCAAATCTTTCGCCACGAAACTGAGGGACAGTTGCGGGCTGAAGCAGAATCAAAACGGGAGTGAATATAAAATTCGAGTCCACAATCAATATAACTATAATGTCACTCATTGGTTAGACTTCTACTGGAAATAATGAAGTACTACATTCATAGTCACATAACTGAGCAACTATATATTGTTTTTGTGAATGGTACGTTTTACAGGCTATAGACAACGATTTGCCCTTCTTCGGAACTGTCTCCTATAAACTACGAGGTGCCAACGGAATGTGAGTATGCTGTTCTTCATGATTATACTTTCTTGTGTACCTTGCGCACGCCAGAATTAACTTATGATCATAAGTTCGACTCCCGACTGGAATCGATTATATTTGTTTGCTTTGTACCCGTGTCTTTACGCTTCACCAAGGTCAAAGACATGTATCGCCTCGGGCTGAGACTTACTGTGGTTTAGAAATGTTATACCTTCCATTCCTCAAGTCTCCACCTTAAAGCTCTTGTGTAATATTATGCATCACTGTATATGGGTTGATGTACATCAAACCATGGGCCCCGAGAGACCAGTGAACAACGTATTTATCTTACCGAACACTTTAAAAGTTAATTTTGAATTGTTTGAAGCTCGGGTACAAATCTTTTTGTAGCCATCGCTAGGTTTTGCTGACAAGAAATACAGATTTAGAGTTATCTCCCTTCCATCGATTTGCATTCGCAAAACATCGGTAATTTCCGTACATCATACGTAATTCAATGTTATTCGAGGTAAAGAATTACTACCGCGAAGTACCAAATGAATTGAGTTGCCATTGAAATGCTACCTGCTTGTAAGCAGGGTACATTGGAAATAATAGAAGTGCGCTCAGCCAATCAGAAAGCGACATTTATGTCTGAGGTACGATAAGGACTGTTATACCTTCCATGCCTCAAATTTCCACTCAAAGCTCTTGTATAAGTACCTTTGTAAATTGATGTATCACTGTAATATCTCCCATGCCTTGATACACTTGTATAAGTACCTTGAAAAACTGCAAAACTGTAAACGCAATAAGTACGATACCATTCATGCACTTAGACCATGTCATGATGATGTCCACTGTCCTAACGTATTGGGTCAACAGAATATGTAGCAACAAAAAGATTAAAACTATAACTACATATTTGTAATAGCTCTGTGAACATTCTGTGGGGTGATAAGGGTTTTGGGGGTGATTATATTCAATTTGGCATACAGTCTTGTGGTGAGGTGTTGGTGAACCTGAATTTTTGTCTAATTATATATACAATGGGCAACTCCTTATTTCTAGTTGGGGTGGGTAAATCGGTTGAATGGAAGTGTTTGTTCACGTGATCTTAAACAATCTCAACTTACTGATATTAGTTGGATAATCATGCTAAATGTTTTGGCCTAATAACCTCTATAAGACTTTGTCAATCCAAGAAGAAATTCCGTTATTTGCACAAGGAGAAATAGTTCGAGAAAGTGCTGACTGAAAATTGTTGACAACTGTTGAAAGTTACATGTAGACGAGGCCTCTTGGTCAGTCTTGAAAACGTCGATGTTAGCAGACAGATGAGCGTAATTCCAAAGTTGCCCCCCTCATATATCTCAACACCCACCCCTTACATACCCATTATACAATTCTGGGGAATTCTAACAAAAGCCATTCCAAACTACAATATTCTCATAGCTTATGGCATCCTATCAAAAGCGGAAGTAAAACAAACAAAGGGAGGCAACTCCCCGGCCTACTTTTAACAGGTGAAATTACATAGCCTAAGTTCAAGGTGTGAGTTCAAATCCACACTTAGCGCTTTAAACTTTTGTGACCCGAAATAACAAAAGGCTTGATAACAGTGTTAGTAGCTACACCGAAACGTCGCTCATATTATATTAAAGAAGTTTTATATACTTAGAACTCTCCTCGTTGTGCTATTTAATGTGATATTATAATTAACAAAACACATCCTCATACAATAACTGTATCTATGGCTACCACGATAAGTAACAAATGCCCCGTGCATTAGGTAATGAGGGTTTCCTTTTGATAGTGGCGTACATAGTTTTAACACAACTTTCTTTGCAACTGGAAACACCAAACTAATCCCTAGATTTTGTTAGAATCCATATGGCACAAATTCCACTTGTCTCGCATACGTTCTGGGAATATGAAAAATGAATGGATACATTAAAGAAAGGACAGAAGTTCGTCTTAATGTTTAAACGATAGGACATGCTATGCATCGTACGCTTGGTCATTTTGTCAGTTAAGAGATTTTGTCAGAGGCGATCGACATTTAGCTGTTAATGTATGCATTCTTCGCTTCATCGTTTACATAATCATGCAAATGTACTGGTGGCTGAAATTAATAATTATTGTGAAATATCCAACATAATACAACATATGCATCAGCGTTAGCCAAGTTCTCGAAAAGCGTTATCCTCTCTTAAGGACCTTCCTCTGTTTTCTATGGATAGTTGATGGGAAAAAACAGATAGTGTTGAGGGATCTATCAGAATTTGAAATTTTGAATGTTGAATTTTTTTAAAACACCATTACAACCTTCTTAAATTACCCAAGTATTTCACCATTTAACGTCTGTGAGAAAGGTAAGTTAAATCTTGTTTTTGTTTTGGTGTATTCATCCATATCTAAATATTCTTTGTTCGAGGTTCTCGATCAGTTCCTCTGGCCTGGTAACTGTGGCCTCTGACCAGCTGGACAGAGAGACCAAGTCTGTGTACTACATATCGGTGGAGGCCAAAGACCCCGGAGGGTTGAAGGACACCGCTCAGCTCACTGTCAACATCACGGACGCCAACGACAATGCACCGGTATTTCGAAGAGACTACGACGGGTATTTGAAAGAAAATGGAAACAGCTTTAGTAGGTCAATCATTGTATCGGTGAGTCAACCAAACGGAAGCTATTGTGTTCAATATCACCTTACTTGTTCTTGCATAGTTTGAAACCCACACAATTTTGTATCATGGCAATAATAAATTCCTCGAGTAACGCCTTATTCTCCTCATTATTGTCAACAAACGTACTGACAATGTCAGGGAACAACCTCCACAATGACGCAAAAGAACATTTGCGTCAAAAGAAATATCTCTTATTGTACTTAAACTTCAATACCTTAACCACAAAACTATCCGTAATCAACGTTTTGCCATTATTGCATTGAGTATTTCTTATATCCAGTTTTTACTTCAACTCAAAGCTGTCGTCTAAAGAACAGATTTGATTCCTTTCATAAGTAATTCACATATACTGAAATATTGATTTGTTTCTTTGGTACCAATCTTGCCAATCCAAAATTGGAACGAAGGCTCTCTTGAACACAAGTAAGAAACCGTGTTAGCAATTGCAGGAACCTGTTAATAACGGCATTATAGGGTGCTAAATAGTTTTCGTAAATGTTTGAGTGGTTAGCATATATTGTTTTTCATTGAACATTCAATAGAAAACATCAGTTGTGTATACGTAATGTAGCATATTTAGAGTAAATGTTCTACAGGTGACATTACAAGACAAATTAAACGGCTTAACACCTCTACAAATAGCATACATATGTTAACCATATCCCCCACAGGCCACAGACGCCGACATGGGGGTCAATGCCCAGGTGAGGTATAGCATCAGCCGGACCTACCCCATGGGCCTCGATTCCCACTTCGTCGTGGGTAGCGTCACCGGTGTCCTCTCTGTGGCCGTTCCTCTCATGAACAGTGACACTAGCCAGGTTGCTGTGTTGGTGCGGGCTACGGACTCTGGCACACCTCCACTATTCTCTGATGTTAATGTTACAATTAGTCTCCTGGTGGGTAGTATATGTCATATCTGGACATATACATTCATATATATGTATAAATTAACTAAACTAAGATTATGTATAGCGCATTTTCTTGAAGTGACAGATCTTGGGTGTTTCAGTAGAGTTTCACAGATTTTTTGCTTATCAAATTTGTTGTGGCAGATTGTGTAATTGAAATGGCTGGTACCACTAATAGAAGAAGAACGTGCTGGCGTGTATTATACTAAGCAGCAAAAGAAACGTCAGTTTGGAATTTTCCTTCGCAGAAACGGATAACTGTAAACTCATTTAATGTTTTGATAGTATACTTTTGACAACATCTCCAACTTTACCTGAGCAAAGCCATTCCTTCCCAAACTCGGAATGGAACCCAGGAAATGGTCTCAAAAATGCAACCTGATCTCGGAGATGGTACGATGTTCTCCATGTTTTTCATGCAACTCATTGTGCAGGTGCTGTTCACAAGGACCAGCCCAATAAAATGCACCCCCAACCCTGGTTGAAACATTCACATTACAACGTCAGCAGGATGCCGTTGCTCACGACGACTCAGAGAAACCAGGCGCTAGGAAGACTTGAAGCTGGCCACACTGCACAAGCCGTTGCCAATCACTTCCAGCTCAACGTTCGGACCATCTACATGCTGCAGCAACGTTTCTGGGCCACCAACACCACAAATGATCGCCTCCGTACTGGCAGACCAAGGGTGACCACAAGACAAGACCGCCATGCTTTGCGACAGCATGTACAGAATCCCTTCATACAGGCATCCGAAACAGCACGCCAGACAGTGGGAACACACGGAAGACCAATCAGTACTGATACAGTACGCCGATGTCTTAAAAACGGGAACCTCCATTTCCGCAGACCTTACCGTGGACCTATCCTACCCCTCGACATCGCCGTGAACGTCAACAGTTTGCCCTACAACACCAAAACTGACGGTACAGGCAATGGAGAACTGTTTTGTTCACAGATGGGAGTCGGTACTGCGTATCAACTGCAGATGGCTGAACAAGAATATGGCGACGACGTGGCCAGCGTTACTCAGATCAATGTGTTATGGAAAGAGACTCATGGGGAGGTGCAAGTATCATGGTATGGGTTGGAATAGGCCTGAAACAGAGAGTGGGTCCTGTGGTGTTCCAGAACCTTGGTCCAGGGAGAAGAGGCGGCATCACAACGGTGCACTACATCGACCAAACTCTCAGACCCCACATCATACCACATTTCGCACGTCACCGGAACAACATTTTCCAGCATGATAACGCCCGAGCCCATACTGCCAGAGCTACACGGGACTTCCTACAGCATAACGGTGTCAACATTTATGCAACGGCCAGCCCTTAGTCCTGATTCAAACCTAATTGAACATCTTTGGGATGAAATTCAGAGGAGACTGAATAATGTCATACCAAGGCCGAACACAGCCGCTTTATTGCGCCAGACCTTTCTCAGAGTGTAGTTTCAGGTGTCAATGGCCCCCATCAATCGATTGGTGCACTCCATGCATAGACGCCTGCTGCAGTTATTGCCACTCGTGGTGGTCACACTAGATACTGAAGTCAAGAGTCTGAATGGACTACAAACGTTCACGTAATGTCTTGGAATTGTGCTGAGTTATTCATTGATGTGTCAGGATATTGTACACAAAACATGTTTTTGATCCGCTTATGATGTCCATTTCCATAATGATTTGATCCCAGTGCCTATCTAATTTTGAATTCGTACTGACGTTATTTTTGCTGCTGAATATATAACATGAGCTCCTCTTTGTATTGTTTATGTTTATTTCCAAAGGGTAAATGTAGGCCATCGGCCCATGGTACATATATATCATTGGTCCACAGAGTTGCGATATCTATGTATTTATAGTACAAACAATTTCATCATGTTTCAATATTCCAACATTAGTATTACACAATAGGAGGTTAAACTTATGAATTGTAGGGTTTACAAAGTATTTAAGTGGTATAAACTGTTTTCTAAGATCAATGTAAGCGTTACATACAAGTAGAAAATGATATTCATATTCGATATTACAGCTATTACAGAGTATACAAACCCAATTCTGTTCAGAAGTGGCGTTTAATCTAAATTCAAATTCTGCCAGAAAAGATACAAGGAAGTCTACACGTTGGGCTCCCCAGATATAGCCCAAACCTTAAGTTTTGAGCTTCTTTGTAAGCACGGGCCAAACAATTAATTGTCTTATAAAGCAGACTGAATAGAGTACATTGCACGCTTTGTAAAAAAATTGGCCGCCAGTATTATTCTCATGCGACACTGCTCCTGTAAATACATTCAACTGTTCTTTGTCTTAACATCGAGTCATACATGAATTCGAATATTATTCAGCTCAACTGCGCGCCCAATTTGCATGATTTTGTACCATGTTCCTTAATGTTTTCAGACACCAGGAAGCACGTGTGGAGATACAGGTAAATTTTTTCTTACTTCGCCTTCATCTCTCTCCCAGATGAGCGAATCACGCTGACTCAATGTGTCATGACATAATTCATCCACGCACAGTAAAGCGGTCAGTTGGCTGGTTGGTTAACGCCGTACTCAGCAATATTCCAGCTATATGGAGGTGATTTGTGAATAATCAAGTCCGGACCACACAATCCAATGATCAACACCATGAGCATCGATTTACGGAACTGGAATACGATGACATGTGTCAACCACGTCAGCGAGCCTGACCACCCGATCCCGTTAGTCACCTCTGACGACAAGCATGGGTTACTGAAGATCAATTCTAACCCGGATCTTAGCGGTTAGCGGTCAGTAGGAAAATGAACAACTGGCATAAGATACATTTCAATGAACTAAGTTACGTTTATTCCCGTAACTCAATGTCCTAGCATGGTAACTTTTCTTGATTAAGCCTGTCCGCCTGTTGCGCCGATTCTACACTGTGAGGAGTCATCATCATCATGTTGCAGCAGGTGCGAGCAAGGATACTTCTGGGGCGCTGCTGCTTGTGACGGTAGGTCCAGAATAGTCAATACAAGTCCAAGTGACCAAACCCTTTCCATATTAGAATTAATTTCCACCGTGTCGACTGCACGAGTCCGTATACATCATTGTGTTTTTTAATCCGTTTCAAACAAATTATACCAGGTGTTTGCGAAAAGGTGCGCGTGCCTGCCATAACTAGTCGCACCCATAAAAACACATGCAATGGCAGCCCCAAACACGGGAAAATGTGGTTCAAGTTAAATATTTTTCATTGAAATCTTAAATTCTAAAATTATAATTAGGCCTTTAATGACCAAATTATTTCAACTAACTACTAATCGATTTCACACTTTAACAAAGTATATTTTCTGCACAGGAAAGGCAAAATCTCCAAGTTACAAATATTTTTATTTTATAATGTTAGCAAATGGGACCATTTGCTACCTTAGTTAAACAACACAACCAAAATGCAAACAAAATGCAAAGTTTAAATGGTTCTGAATAGCAAAACGGACTACTTCACATGCAAAGTGCCCTTCTATGCCTGAGAAACGAACCCTGTTTCCTTTTTACATAACGGAAATCTTACATTGAAAGTCTTATTAGCTTATTGGTTGGTGTCTGTTCAAAGGACCTTTGCAAATGCAGACAAGCACGATGCTGTTTTGATCATCTTTGGGACAGTAGCTGTTCCACCTCGAATTGTTTGACGATTAGTGCTTGCGTCAGTGCACCACGTTGACGAGACACATGCTGTGGAGCCGTTTCACATTACGTTTGTGAAGGAGCAAATCTTCTATCCTTGCTGTCACCAATTGTTTAACGCCACAATGAACAATATTCCACCTAAATGGCGGCAGTCTGTAAATAATCGACTCTGGACCAGGCAATCCAGGGATCAACAGCATGTACATCGACCCACGCAATTGGGATACGACAACATGTGTCAACCAAGTCAGCGAGTCTGGCCAGCCGATCCCGTTAGTTCGCCTCTTACGACAGGCATGGGTTACTGAAGATCAATGCAAACCCGAATCTCCACGGGTCGCAAACATATTAGAGCGATGTATTTAACGAACGAATTTCAAATCATATTTATAATGCCCATGTCATAAAGTTTCAGATACATTTTCATTCGATAGTGAAGACTCTCATGCTATCTTTTTATGGCTGCCATGATGATATTCACAAACAGCATGCCCTCCCCCACATGCTGGATGCCGTGACGTGATCTGCATGTCCCCCAGCAACGTCAGTTGTACCAGCTGTCATCCGGGCTTCTACCTCAAGGGCAGCACCTGTTTGGGTGAGATCATCGATCGTCAAAACTAAATTAACTGATGCTTATTAATATCATAAACGAATTTTTAGGAATATCTTCAAAGGAGTGTTCAAAAGTTTCTACTCCTTAAATATAAATGATTTGATGTATGCAGTAGTGTAACTCATGGTCAGTCGACTGCAGAGAGGTATGGCACCAGTGATGATTATGTTGTTTTTGAAGATATCAAAGCAGGATTATCAGCATATTCATGTACAGTGTCTATTCACTTCAGGCAGGTTCATCTCACTATTATAAGCGTTTGATTGTTTCAGAGGGCAGTGTAGCAGGCGATACAACTGACCCAGGTGAGTAAGTTCAGTAGAGTTAGTACTGGGGAATTGCGATCCTACATTATGCAAGGCCCAGAGGTTATGGTTTCAGAGTTCAGATTGTCAACACCAATCACGCGCTAGTGGCTCCACGGCATCTATTCTTTGCGTTGTCCTTTTCTTTTTAAGCTTAGATCCGTATTTTAAACTCTAACTCTGTTCCAAACAGAGATCAACTCACATACTTACGTACGCTTTGCTTTCGTAATTCATTATTGCAGAGGAAGCGTCAAACGTCATCTACATTGTAGTTGGAGCTGTAGGTGGTGCAGTTGCTGGCTGCTTCGTTACCGCCGTCATCGTCATCGTGTGGATGAAGAGGAGAACCAAACCTAGAGGTGAGCAAAGGCACTACCTGTTTTACCTGTGACCAGTTAATTGTATTAATATACTACCCCATTAGTTCTACCTGTGTTGTTATGGGTTCATTAGTTCTACCTCTGACCAGTTAACTGTATTAATATACTCTACTCCTGTTGGTTCTACCTGTTAGCAGTTAATTGTATTGAATGGATTTTTCACCCGTTCATGGTGATATCAAACTCTCTGACAAGTAACATATAGTTGACGAAGCAGTATTATCATTTTCCATGCATTACGTATTGGCTAACTGGAAGTAAAGTTACACAATATTAATGTGCACGTGCATGGCCAGTGCAATCTGTTAATAACACTTACGTTTAAAGTCGTGCCCTAATGGTAAATAGCATGAGCAACAGCTGTGGCCGAGCCTGACAACCTGATCCATGTCAAGGTCGGGTGACACTCCAAAGCAGTATAGTGTTGGTATTTGTTATGACCAGAATCCCACAAGGTTTAGATCTAAAATATATTTCTGGTCTATTTGCAAAACAATAATATCACTTTTATTTCCAGAGGACAATGCTAACAACACAAACATGTACACATCGGCCTCCCATTACGAGGACGTAGATAACCATTATAGTAAAATAGAGATGCGGTACGTCAACACTAGGGGTATAACAGAGACTGGTACTCCGGATTATGTGAACGGGACTTAGAACAAAGAAGCTGTTTACAGCCCTCTCCAGCGCAACAGGGAACGCGGAAACATGGAGGAAAAAGAAACAGATTACTGTAACATCACCCATGATAGTGCCAGTGCAAACTGAATAGGGAGATTTTAAGAAGGTTTTTTTTGCGCCGTGCTCATGAATTATTTTCATATTTATGTAATATTCATGTTTATGTAAAATTCAAAGTGTATTAGGTAACTGGCTATTTGTGCACGAACACCTGTCAATACTTATCCTTCAGTGTAACTATCTTCACCTGTGCACGGGACAAAATAACCTTGATACCACATATCAAGTTCACAACAAGGAAGATTTATCAGCCTCAAGTGGATGCTCAACATTGTGATAACATTGAGGAAATATTCTGACGGAAGATACTAGTAGATGTGCAACAAAATATATTTAAAGTACGCACCTAATGAGATTTGTTTAGAAAAGAATAGTCTTGGAATACAGTCAAGATGTGAAAATGAATGAGGACCTTTTTGTTACCCTTTATGTCCTGACATCTAACTTACCACTTATCAGCAGAGACTGTCTTCACTGTAACCTGCACAAGTTAACTCTGTCTTTACAACAGGAGCGCATTCCGTTAGACTTTCACCCCTTCTGCCCTGAAGTAGGGTATTCTGTTTGACTGATACTTTAAACAGCTGCTGGACACACTAAAAGATTTAGCATAGTCGTTTAATACAGATTCCTTTGAAAGTTTGTGAGTCATTTATGTTTTATTTGGTTGTTGTATAACGCCAAACTCAGCAATATGCAATCGATATGCAACAGTAATGACTGACATCATGAGTTCATGCAGAGATATCACTTGACTGGGATCAATAGATAAACCACGACACAGACCATCTGACACCTTCGTTTACCATGACGTGTGAATAAAAACCATCACTAGCCCTCTGCCACTGAACCTGATCGATCGTATTATTAACGCTATCAGACATTGCTTATTGATATCCTCTTCAAAAAAAGAAACGCATCATGAATATAGCAATTTCATATAGCAATGAATTAAAACGTGATTCATTTTACAAAGGGTTTTGCTCTGTTTATGAGTCCTATGGTGTTTATGTTTTGAAACATCACAACAAAACGCACCATCCGTAAAATACCCGTATTTAACAGTGTTAATGCATGATACACATGTTTCATTTTTTCTTTGCACATTTCCCTCCTGCAGGTATTTTCACATAATTATCATTTGCATATTTCATGCATTATAAATGTCTTCCTAATGTGTTTACTGTCTCCATAGCACAGTGCAGCTCTTACTTCATCCTAGTATCAACTATAACCTCCCTTGTTAGTAACCAAGCAAGCTAGGGTTCAATCCAAGCTTTCTAATAAAACTTTTGCAGATTTGTTATGTTTCATATCCCATAATACCACTTTCCTGTCATGTGACCATAAAAAGCACATGTGGTACTGGGACCCCATGCTTCAGTGTGTTAGCAGCCTCTATACCGTCAAGAGGTCTCCTCTGACTGTAAATATGAATGTAGCACACAGGAACACAAATGTAAGTCTTGCATCTTTATTGTTTCACAGTTACTATTCTGTTTTGTATAAATATAATGTTTAATAGTCCTCTTTGAAGTTCATGGCCTCATAATGTTATTGTTACATGCAATATTTTCTGAAAGTGTTCAAATAATCTTTAAAGGTTTTCAAAGTTGTTAAATATGAATTTAGATGATATTTGTCAATGCATTGTATTTTATAGTCAAATTATATTACAAATTGTTTCTGTTTATTCTAGTTTTCCAAACCTCATCCACTCATCCACTCATCAACTCGACTATTTATCTGTTCACACTATGGCTAACGACCAACGTCCAACGTGTATCTTACATGTGTACGTGTCACCGTATATCAACGCATAACGTACCATTGTTTACCATCAACGAATAAAACCCTGTGGATGCGAGTTCTTGGTGAATTGTTATTCTTGCGTCTACAAACAGCATGATTTTCAATTTCGGCGTGTAGTGTCACAGAACACAATTCACATGCAATGCACGTGAAAGTTGGGGATCGAATAGTCTCAATGATGGGTATAAAAGGTTGATCGCTGTCTGTCGATTATTCACTGTATTTGGAATATTGTTGACGAACGCAAAATGCCACGTCTAAGTGAAGCCAACCGTCATATCGCTATTGGTTTGCTTGAGGCTGGCAAGTCTTAACGTGCAGTTGCCCGACGCATGGATGTTCACCAAAGCACCATTTCACGGCTCTGGGAGAGATATCGCCGGCAGAATGCGGTAGCAGATGCCCCTCGTAGTGGGCGACCACTGCGGCGCAGGATCGCTACATCCTGGTACCGCTCGACAAATACCCGGATTGAGGAGGCTTTCTGCACAGACCGTCAGGAACAGGTTGAGAGAGGCTGGTTTTTCGTGCCAGAAGACCTTATTTTGGCCCTGTGCTTCGACAACAACATCGTCGACATCGAGTTCAATGGTGCACCGACATTCAGGCCTGGAACCTACCGAATTGGCGTAGAATCTGGTTCAGTGATGAATCACGATTTCTATTGGAACGACGCGATGGAAGAATGCGGGTGTACAGACGTCGACTGAACGTTTCGCCGACGCTTGCGTTCCCCAGGTGGACAGATTCGGCCGGGGAGGTGTTATGATGTGGGGGGAAATCACCTGCCGTAGGAGAAGTGATTTGGTGATGATCCAGGGCAACCTGACAGCTCAACGGTACTGTGACGAAATCCTACGCCCACACCTCCTTCCAATCATTGATCGCCAGAGGGAGTTGTTTCAACAGGACAATGCCAGGCCCCACACAGCACGTGACACTAGAGACTTCCTCCAGAACCACAACATCAATGTGCTCCCCTGGCCCTCAAGATCACCGGACTTAAACCCGATCAAACATCTGTGAGATGCCCTGGACAGACGGGTGCGACGCCGTAACCCTCAGCCCCAGACACTTCAGCAACTCGCACAGGCACTACAGGCAGAGTGGCCTGCGATTAGGCAACACGAGATTCTGAGACTTATTCGTTCGATGCCGAGGCGATGCCGTGCAGTTCTGGATGCCCACGGTGCTCACACGAGGTATTGACTTCAGCGCCACCACACGTCTCCATGTGACACTCAAACTGACTTTCCTCGAGTTGGTGCCACAGACGGATAAGTCTGCATTCTCAGTGTGCAATTTCGCTATATTTCATTGACTCATAAAGCCTACAAGATGTTTCAAAATAAACATAAAAATACAGTTGAAATTCCTATATGCGTTTCTTTTTTGGGAGAGTATATTTACAAACTGAAAAAGTTGGAGGATAAATGGACATTAAAATATATTTTTAAAACTTGAATCAAGTCGTCCTGACATATTTGAACTAGAAAGCAGGCCTCCGCGGATATAAAAAGAACGATGAATTTCACGCTGCATTTAAATTTTTGTCTTTGGCATATTATCACAAACACCACAATTTGAAATCTCAAACAGTGACACGTGGACAAGCACAACAATGAATACAATTTAGATAATGTCAGCAACACCATGCCTGGAAGATAATCAATAAAACATTACACATTGACTACGTAATTAAAGAAGTGTGAGAAATATGCATATTGAGAATAAAAAGGATGCAATGGTGTTTATGAAACCAACTATTTCTGTGATAGCAGGGTGTACCTGTAAGCCAGATAGTACAGACATATTATAAGTTGAAGTCGTCCTATATTCATATTTAATCAGAGGGTTGAGATAACGACTCATATCTACACAACGACCCCAGGTAGGGTGCACCACTCTAGTCCCTACATTAAAGTGGGCATGTGATCAAGAATCCATTACTAGAGATACTCTTACTCATCACAGCAGAAGGAAGCAGTACAGGTATGTACCCATTGAATACTTTTCTTGTGCAAGTTAATATGAACGGAGCTGTGAAGAAATCCTGTGGTAAAGTCTTTGTCGTATGCTACAGATCCGGGGTGAGTTAGGTACATGGTTAGAAACTGCCAAGCTATTTGTTGTCTGCCTCGCCATTACATGGCTGAAACATTACCTTAATAAATCTTTTTAAATTGTGTGTACACTAGGAATGTTCTTTCATTAACACCTTCTATAGTGAGAACTTCATAAACTGTGTAGTCCGTTTGCTGTTGAGTTGTTGGATCATGTCCAAACAATAATCAGGCTAATAATACATATTGACGCTGCTTATGACTTCATGGCGTCATTATGGAGTGAAATCGATTTTGGCCATGGTGCACAGCACTGTAATTATCTTCATCCGTATCCTCAGATGTTTTTTGTTGGAACAACTCTAACCCTAACCAATATCACTTGTTCAGGTCCCGATTTCTTGATACAAAGTCAAGTCTGAGTTTTGACTTAAGTTCCAGTTTTTACTCAAATTTGAGAAAACGCAGGAAAAATGCATTTCCCAGAATAAACTGACATTGATATTTAACTCAAACATTCATCAACAATGATGTTTAGTTCATCAGAAAACATTTTATGGGGTCAAGAATGCCCTTGAAATAGTCACTTTTCAATTTGTTAATACACATAGCTTCATATAAAAGCCAGAGTCAAAAAGAGTCAATTTTAAGATTTAATAGGTTGATCTCCCCCCACGTAAGCCTAATATAATACCTAATTTAAGTTCACTTATCTGCATATTGTCCCATTTGTGGGACGGTACTTTGGCGGAAAATTTAGAAAACATGCAAACCACTTTCATTTTCTATTTTTTTTTAACAACGAAAGTTTTAAACACATTCTAATGAACTTACATAGTTAAAATAGGAACCGTTCCTAGTATGGTGATCTACCTTCAGTTGTTGGCGATCTATAGCCAGTTTTTATATTGTATTGTCTAAATAGTGCTATCAGTTTTAACTTTCCACACTAGTTTTAGTTGTAATTGTGATATTCTAGTTGTTTTACTGTCCTTCGTCGACAGGGTTTTTGTAATATACATATCTTCCATTTCAATGTCACATATGTTCTCGTCACGATATGGCTGAAATATTGCCAATGTGACGTTAAATATTAACTCACTCGCTCACTCACTAAAATAGGAACCAATTAAAATATCATCTTATCTCGCACTTCGCCGAACTTAAACTCTACAAGTAATGTAAATGGTGCAACCACTAAACAATTTTCTCAGCTTCATTCTCGTCTATACTGCAAGTTTCTATCTTCACCAATACGAGAGAAATGCTTTTTTGATGTACCCGTCCCAAAACGGGACGATATGCATAATTGGGGTAAAACTGTATCAACTACTTGAAAATGCCTTTGCCTTCATGGAAAGTGTGACCTTTCTTCATTTTCATCAATTATTCTACATTTTGTCCAGTGAAATTGGGGAAGCAGCATCTGTTTGACTAAAGCTAAGGAAATAAAAAATTCCAATAAAGTAGTCCTCATTCTAGTTTTATCAATTTAAGTAAGTAGCTTTGCATTATATAAAAATATATATTATTACATCCATATATCGTACAGAGTTTAGAATATAAATAGGCGCATAAGTTGTATGTTGAAAAATAATCAGTGATACCACGGTTATCCGTGAGGATATTTTCAGTTAAGCTCGATGAACATCATGATATTTTTTGGTTGACTATTTTTCATCATCTATTAAGTGACTGTTTAGATATCTGGGTTTTACAATGGCAATAGCAGCATGTGGCTATTAAACTAAACAATATTTTTTGTTTGTGTTTTGTCTTCTGTTATGATGAATTAGAAAATTAATGTTCTGTGCTATAATGACTTGGCTCTGCAAAATTAGCACCACTTTGTCTGCTACAGGTAATTCTGCTGAGGTTTTGTATAAAGCGAGGAGTTACCTGAAGAAACAATGTGTATGTGCCCACAAGGTATTGGCAACAAGGTATTTCGTTGGACTAATTAAGAGTATTACTATGCTGCACCTTTTAAAGACAACTCCTTTTGATTCCAGCTGTTCTTCAGGGCTGCACAAAGATGCCGGGTTCAAAATGGACTCTCTTAATTGTCCTTTTCTCTCTCTGCAAGGGTGAGTCATTTAGTGTGCCATTTATAATTGGAGTTCATAACGTATCATAATTGTAGATATGAAGGAAAGTGTTCAAAGAGGTCTCACGACCACATGGCCCACTATATGCCTATATAATCGATTTTGTTTATGATGACAGGAAAACCACGTTTTAAGTTGCTTTACAAGATGCTGGACTGTATTGTTTCCAGGAAGAACGTCCGTTCATTAAGAAGCCAAAAATTATGTGAGTCCGTGACAGCAATCTCAGAGACTGTGCGCAATTTACAATTTACATATGTGAAATATGTACATGTATGACACTTACGTCTCAATCATGGTTGTTTCAATAGGCACATTGTTGTTTTTGACTCAGTAATATTCATTAGAAGTACACCTTCTAATGCCTGCGTAATCTTTTGCCAGCAGTTTCCAAGTTTGTGTTTTGCTTTGGTAATTTAATTTTTCGTGTTTTTAACATTATCAGTTTTCATTGTATGATTCATGTTTGGGGTATTCTAAGTTGATAACGTAGTTGTTTCTGATCATTGTGACAGTTAAAACCCATAACGATACAAGGGTTATTTTCCTCCATCATTCATCATGTGTTGTATATGTGAAGCTTGTAATGGCTGGCCGCCAAGCAATGTTACTTCTGATGCCCAGAAGCCGAGCTTGTGTTTATTAAAGTCGATATAAAAGTTAAAATAGAAAAAGAATATGTCATTATTTGTCTTGTTAACTCCCTTTAGGTCCACGGAACAACTTGTACCTCAAAGTCTGGTCATAAAATCAGGATGACAACTTAATCGACCAATATCACGGCCAATCGCTGACAATGCTACATAAATGCGATGCATATACGTTATAACTAAAATGTTGATACGTTAACTATTTTGTCATTGGTCTCCGCGTGGTCACGTGTTGAGGTCAAACAAGGGAGGAAACTCTGATAGCCGTTTTAGTACTACTCATCTTTATGCAGGGAAGCATATAAATCGCATGAGGTGTCCAACTGTTATCAACAAAAAACAAAACATGACGTAAACATTCTTGGGATATACCCTTTTAAATAGGGTAATAATCAAATATTGTAAGGGCAGAGGTAAATTAAATATTATATGTGAGTGTTTTCTGTGTTTAAACTGATGCATAGTGTATCGATGTTTAGGCGATGTTCTTCGTTGTTCCCTATTACAGTTTTGGTTTGTTTGCCGCCAGGATTTGATCGGATAAATCCAATACAAGTACCAGAAAACACACCTGCAGGTAAGTTGACACATAGAGATGACCACAGTGGACGGTGATCTGGTCAAATGTCATTGGATGAAGCTATTACTGGAAAACAACAACGTCATAGCTCTTGTCGGCACACACGTATGAGACATCTTGAGTAAAGTAGAATATGTTTGATAACTCAAAATCATATGAGAACTCATGTTCACACATATGTTCATATGATCTCCATACACGAATGTTCATCACATTTGTTCATTTGATATGTATACATGAATGTTCATAAAATCTGCATAGACGAATGTTCATCACATATGTTGATATAGTCTACTTATTTTCATCACATATATATGTTCATATGCTCTACTTACACGTATATTCATCACATATGTTCATATGATCTGCATACACGAATGTTCATCACATATGTTCATATGATCTTCTTAGACGTATATTCACCACATATGTTCATATGATCTGCATACAGGAATGTTCATCACATATGTTCATATGATCTGCATACACGTATATTCACCACATAATTTCATATGATCTGCTTTCTCGTATATTCATCATATATGTTCATATGATTTGCATACACGAATGTTCACCACATATGTTCATATGATCTGCATACACGTATATTCATCACATATGTTCATATGATATACATACACGTATATTCATAGCATATGTTCATATGATCTGCATAAACCTATAATAATCACATATGTTCATATGATCTGCATACACGTATATTCATCACCTATTTTCATATGATCTACATACACGTATATTCATCACATATGTTCATATGATCTGCATACACGAATGTTCATCACATTTGTTTATATGATCTGGATACACGTATATTATCACATATGTTCATATGATCTGCATACACGTATATTCATCACATAGGTCATATGATCTGCATACAATTCTATTCATCACATATGTTGATATGATTTGCATACACGTATATTCATCACATATGTTCATATGATCTGCATACAATTCTATTCATTATATATGTTCATATGATCTGCATACACGAAAGTTCATCACATAAGTTCATTATTAATATGAATTCCGAAAATTATAGCAGATTATTTTCATGTGTGTAATTACAGTGCACATAGGCCAGCACCATCTGCCAATCTATTCCAGGTACCGCTATCGGTGTTCTGACTGTGAGAGATGCAACCCCTTCCCACGTCACAGTGACAATGTCAACGACAACACAACAATACGTGTATTTAAATCAGCATACCAGCATCTCTGGCTTCTATAACGCCAGTATATAGTTCTGCAGAGACAACTGGACTACGAAACAGTAAGTTCCACCTGTATATCTTCCACACACTATGTGACATTATCAGGCGTATCAGAGATTGCAAACCAGTCAAGAATTCTGGGACATCATCCGGGTGCTCACGGAAATAAAACAATTACAAAAGCAACAACCAGTCCACAGAAATTGCTCTGGATCAGTGTCTCTTTAAATTAACGTGTTCTGATGCTGAATATTTATTCTTAAATTCAGGATGGAAGCTCGCTGAGACTGCTCTTTACAGCCACAAATCCATCAACTCCGGTAAGTAGACTTGTTAACTTCATGACAACCTCTTTCCATCCTCTCATATATGAATTTAGTAGATTTGAAGCATCGTAAGATGTCGGATATTTTATTCAATGATTGAGTTCTTAGCGTGCACGAGTTATTCAAATACATTGGTGGTGTACATATTTACTGTTAGGAATTCCTTTGATTACATTTCCCACAGGGTAAGTCAAAACTAGCATATACAAACATACTTGCAAAACATGTACTTGTTTGTCAAATGTATGTTAATAGTTAGCCAGAACACGTGTTAGCACTCTAGATTTCATTTATATACTAGAAATTTAACTGCCGTACTTTCACTCAGAATTTCAGGTTATTTGAATCATAAAATTTAAAACTTAAAGCGTTACAATATTAACACTTGTATGTTCAATGGTGTGAAGGACGGAGTCCGTCAAAACGTGATAGTCATCATCACAGACGTCGATGACGTCCACCCACGGTTCCTGGGGCTGCCCTACTCCGTCTCTGTCCCAGAGGTTGTATAACTTTTGTTGTACTCGTCTGTATTTACTGGGTTAAAAGATACTACCTGAATCGAGCAATATTCATTATTTTTATGAACGCCAGGGTTTTTTTCTTTTACTCTTCTCCAAAATGCCGATTAATGAGTCACATGACGAAGTTTCTGAGCTGATGGAGTCATTTCAAAATGTATGTTCCCATACTCACAATCGTTGTGGATTATGCATGTAGATAACTTGCTCATTTCAGAATGAACCCATCAACACTGTCATCTTAATAGCCAGAAGTACTGATCCAGACACAGGGATAGGGGGTTTAGTTAACTACACCATGAAGGTACATGCTAGTCTAGCCATATATCCAATATCCAGCAGAAGCACGTTCTCACAGTATAATGAAGCATTTGGGTGAACCTTCGCTGAGTACACGCTATAGAGTAATGGAGTCAGATCAGTGGAATGAATGAATGAATGAATGAATGAATGAATGAATGAATGAATGAATAGTTAAAGTTTTCACTTCTTATATGCGTGTTTTTGTACTTGCATAACAAAGCTACTCATTTTTCACATGTTCAGACATCACATGCGGATTACAGAAGCAAGTTTAGAGTATCCAGGGCGGGGGACGTGACACTGATTGGAGGCCTGGACTACGAAACACTCAGTTTCTATCAGTTTACAATTGTTGCCACTGTAAGTATGTGACAATATCAACTGTTTGGTTCTACTGGTGTTGTTCCCTACTTATTGCAGGTCTTGAGAGCTACAAACAACCTACATGATGCATCCACAAGTGTAACCTTGTGATTTGAAAGTAATGTATTACTTACATTTCAGAGAGAACTGTTTGTTGAACCTTAACGGTGGTAGCGTTTCTGGGTTCTGACAATGACGCATGACGAATGAATGGGTGCTTTGTTGTTTAACGCTGCAATCGGCGCGCTCTTGGCCACCTACTCCAGTGATTAACAACATGATAATCGATCTACGCAATTTGGATACGATTACATGTGGCAACAAAGTCGGCGAGTCTGACCACCCGATACCGTTCGTCGTCTCTAACGACAAGCTTGGGTTGTTGAAGAGCAATAAATCTCGGATCTTCACGGGTCGCATGACGAATGATACCAGGGGCATGTTCATCTTCTTTGCGAACACTACTTCGGCATTACTTGATTGACGCTTATCTTAGAAAGAAACATTCCAGCTGGAAACGGTCTAACTGGACAAGTCCATGATTAATATCATGAGCACCTTCCAACACTGACGTGATACGATGACTCACAATCAGTCAGCGAGCCTGACCACCCAATCAGTCGTCGCTCACGAACTGCATAATTAGCTGGAGACCGTTTTGTATACTCAGCGGAATTAACGGTCACTTCAGTGGAACTATTGTGTTATAGTGCGGGATTGCATTTTGTTTCGTTCTGTGGTTGCAACAGAGACAGCTTGACCTGTACAATTCGGAAAGGCTTGTCGCAACTCAGATTCGTGTTCTTGGCTGTACACGTTACTGTGACAAAATATGTGCCCATATGTGTAACAGTTAACGAACCGTTCACTCACCATGTATATCCCCCTTGCCAGGATGGAGGAGGCCTGACCAGCGAGGCCCAGGTGTTTGTGACCGTAACAGATGTCCAGGATAGTCCACCATACTTTACTGGCGGGCCTTACTTACCTGATATCTGGGAGGACCATGCTGTGGTGAGGATGTTTGTATTATACACCAGTAGCTGCTAAACAACTAGTCATAACTAGACAAGAACACCATTGCCAAGTATCAGAGAACAGTATTGTAAAACATTATACAAAATCCTGTTTTCACAGAACAGCAAAGTCGTGACCATCTCAGCACTTGACAGAGACAGAGGCAATCCGAACAACATCACCTACAGGATCACAGATGGTATTTATGTTTCATATTTTTGAGCAGATGAAGTAGATGAAAATCTTGAAGAAGGTATGCTCGTACAGTGTTGATATGTCCTCATGAAATATTGTAGGCACATGTCCTGGATATTTCAACATCAACCCAACAAATGGAACCATTGACCTGATCAAGGATGCGGACAGAGACAGCGGGACAGTTCTCCAGAACAACGGGATCTGTGTTATCAATGTCCAGGTGAAAGCTTAAGTCATGAATAATTATATTTTATTTAGTGATCATGAGGCCCGGTATGCACAGATGCATCGGTGTTTTCATCGGCCATAAGGAACCGACGTCCTATTTGCATTGAGGTCACCATTGATTAAGTCCAAGTCACCACGGCTACAATAAGTCCATTCCCATTAATTTGGCTTTGTATATATATGTACCACTCTGTGTTGTTTACTGCATTTTCTCACTCATCGTTCCGTTTGGTAAGCTAGTCCGATGTTTAGGCATTATCTTGATACACCGGAAGTGTGGTTTCGAATCCCTAGTTTTGGTATGTGTGCAGACATATTTTCATGTCCATAATATATATAAGGACTATTTGATACAACATATAAAACATGTCTCTCTGTGGTTAAGGCTGTGGAGGTGACGTCCTCGGGTACATTCGGTGCTACCGCCAACGACACGGTGACGGTGACAATCAAGGACAAGAACGACAACTCTCCCACGTTTAGCAGCTCCCACTACGAGGCTACCATCCAGGAAAACATGCCGGCAGGGATACCCATCACCTTCACGACACAACCAGTACATGTAGAGGATTTGGACCAGGTTTGGGGACACTATGAGTCACAATGCCTATACATATTCTACTTATAGTATGCTGGACATTATGATAAGATATCCTCAATATCCGTTTCGAACTTCTAAATCAAGGTCAGTCATTTTACGGTTTGCTCTAAGTCAGCGGATTTTTTAATGTGAAGTTGTAAGCTACACAAAGGGATATTTTGTGGACAAATGTCCTGACAAACTTGCAGAACGAAGTAATATCAAACCTGTAATGATCACCCTGAACAGGAAATGTGTGGGCGATGGTTGGCGCTGGCATGGTGTGCGAGCTGTCTAAGGCGCCAAGCTAGTGATCCAGAGAGCTTGAGGTGCCGGAATCGAGCCCACCTGTGACCGGGTGTAAAAATAATTGGAATCAGTTTTGTGTGCAGACTCTTTCAGTGTTATCACAACCCTTAGTGTACAGTACACAACCCCGTACACTGAAAAGAACCCAAGAATCCGTTGGTAAAAGACCATATGGTGGCCACATGAATACGCGAAAACACTTAGTTGTGGGTACAGCAATGTGCAGTAAACGTGGACAAAGTACTGTGACTACATAAATGTATGTGTCCCAGTCCACAAAGCTGTGAATGAGTACCTCGTAAGGATTGGAAAGCCACATTAACTTGGTACACCTAAATGGCTGCAAGAATCGTATACGCCTCAGGGTGTTGAAATTGATAATACGATGTGCCGTTGAGATTGACTTCCAGTGATGGAGGGAAAAAGCAAACAAAGCGCCCCTTAGCAGCCTAGCTTGAACTCGGCGCTATATGAATAGATAAATAGAAATAGAAATGTATGAATGGTAAAGCTTTTTAGTTTTACAAGAATATATACGTGTGGAATATGATGGTCTTCATCAAGATCGCCACTTTAGTCCCGAACTACCAACAGATGTGGATGCATAAACACCTTAAAGGAACAGAACAGAATGTATTCAGTGTAAGGGCCTCATGTTCTAGAGTACAATGAAGTTATTTAAATTCCTTTAAGTATCACCTGACAGTGACGTCACGTTAGACGTGTAAATTAAATACATGTCTAAAAATATGCCTACATTTTTGTGGTACGAATGGTACATTTTTTACGAATAGCTGAATATTTCTCACAGACAAACGCCGAGATATTACATTATTTACAAAATGAATTACTCAAATCGTTATCTTTAGATTTCCGATAATTGTTAACTCTAAGGTTGTGTAAAGAAATTCCAAATTTACAAAATGGTCTGATTAAAGATCATTCAAATGGAGAATGTACATATACATTTCTTTCTCTAAAAGTGAATTTAAATTACTATAATATCTTAAATTGTTTGAAAAGATATGTCTTTCAGACGTTGAGAGAAAATATTTAAGAATGACGAAACATTGCCAACATCTTGGCTTATCCACACATAAGAAAAACCCATGTGTAAATAATAACATTCTTAAATCAGACACCCAACTACGTATACATTTTCCACTTTCATCCATTACTGTTAATATTTTATAACACTGGTGAGGGTAGCGATAATTTCTTATTCTAATTAACTTCATCCAATATTTAACAACACGCAACTGTGTAATGGTTAACATTCCGCCCAACTTCACCCAAAACAGCTTTATGAGATACGAAGTTCCTTACCCTCAAAAACCGTTTTAAAAAGGCAGATGAATTTTGTTCAATTAAATTATGATATTTTACACCCCACATTTCAGCACCATATGACAACATGGGAGCAATTTTGACTTTTTATTGGAAAGATTGAAATAGCTTGAGCATGCCTTAGTCCGTGTAAAAGCAGAGGAACATGTTTAACCCAAATCTTTATAATAAGTAGCAGACTTTAAATTTACTTTACCAATTGTCCACCTTTCATGCTGTGTACTTATACCAACATTTCGAAACACAATGACATTACGCTTGTCCATATTAACTTGAAATCCCCATTTCTGACAAAATTTGTCAAAAATATCTAATTGCTTTTGTAAACCATTTACACAAAAGCCAAAGTAATAATGTCATCAGTGAAAGTAAAAGATCCTCAATTTCTTGCGTTACAAAAATACCATGGTTACAATCTTTGAACATGTCTAGCACGAGTTAATTTATGAAAATGTAAACCAAATGGGGCTGAGCATACAGCCTTGTCTAACACCCATGTTTGTAGAAAATAGCTGTTTTGCCTTCTGATGTTCGAACACATGCCTTCACTGATAAATACATACTTTTAAGAACATAACATGTTTTACCCTTACAACCTTTGGTGTGAAACTGAAATAATAACTTTTTTCTATCAACAAAATCGAAGGCTTTCTTAAGTCTCGGAATCCCAAGCAGGCTTTTGCAACTCCTACTCAACAATAGACAATATCTTTATACTACAGTCATTATGCTCTAAGTACTTATGTAAAGCCGATGGACGCTTCTTCTGTGCCTTCATTGACACCTTAAAGGAGATAAGAACGATTGTATATTTATATATTATTTTTGTTCTCAATTCTTTATTTGTCCATTTGAGTGTTCATATATATTAGCATGGATATTAACACAAGCTAAGTGTGTAGAGTTGAGTATAATGTCTGTAGTATAAAAGAAATACATTTGTCGGTTTTCATTTCTAAAGTGTAAAATATGTAATAATTAATTGGATATGTACCGAAAATATCATTACTGGGTGGCAGACGACTGTTTGTTTTATTTCCGCTTTGTTTGTTTGTTGTTTTATGCCGCACTCAGCAATATTCCAGCTATATGGCGGCGGTCTGTAAATTATCGAGTTTGGACCAGACAATACATTGATCATCAATCATCAATCAACTCAATTGGGATACGATGACATGTGTCAACCAAGTCAGCGAGCCAGACCACCCTATCCTGTGTTACGGTTAATAATTTGCCGTGACCAACGGTTTAAGAGTCCCCTTTGAACCAGCAAAATAGAACACAGACAAGTCTAAAATATTCAATAATATATTGAACAAACAATGAGCAAGCTACAATGAATGACAATACAGATTTCCAGTACAATGCAATTGAGTCACAAATCTAAATTATAGGGTCACAAATATAAGATATTAACTCACCAGAGTCTTGGCATTTACAGTGAGGACAGATATACTGATTGAAGGTTGTTTACACTGACAGCAGTTGAATAGACAAGCACAGTCGGTCTTGATGCGTTGATCAACTTGACGATGGCAGACAGATGTGTATAAATCCAGTCATGTGATAGTCCCGTCGCAGAACTCAACAACCAGCCTTTATATAGCTCTTACACAGTTCTCGAGCATTCTAGCAAAGCTAGGCTCAATCATATCCTCTCAGAATGTTATGGAAAATTCCACGGCATGACGAGAGACAACAAGATAAACAAGTCAGCCAAGGGAGGCAACTCTAAAGCGCTATCTCAAAAGGCGTACCGCTAAAAATACTACTGCCATTGAACATTTATGATGCGAGATGCGAGACAAAATCCACGCTCAAAACATTTAACATTGTGACCCATAATAACTATCACTTAATTAATGTGGTATTACAAATTAAAAAAAAACACACTATCATAACACTCTCCCCCTTAAGGAAAAGAAATGTTCACAGAAACCTTCTTGTACAATCATAGCAAAATAACTAACATAACATATTAAGATGACATGTAATACTATGATTAACACGAGGAACATCTTTCAAAATTACTATGATATAATGCAGATACAAACATACATCATCATCAAGTCATTATGCATTTACAACCTGGAAAGTTGTGACCCATAAAAACTATCACTTGATCAATGTGATATTACAAATTACAAAAACATAACACCGGTTAGTCACCTCTTACGACAAGCCCGTGCTACTGAAGACCAATTCTAACCCGGATCTTCACGGGTTTATTGCCTTATGATAAGTAATTGTGTTTTTAAATATTGTGTTATATATGCACATGAATATTAATAAATGCCATTTAGAGGTTGGAAAAACCTCACCACCTCATCAATAAGTAACAAAGCTATTATCCGTAAAAGTTCAAGATATTCTTTGTCTGATATGTTTCCAATTCTAATAGCAGTGAATTGAGCAGGCTGATTCTATTGTCCATCAAATTACGTACACTGAATATGCATTCCCTGTTATACTATTTGCAATGGATATTGCTGAGTGCGGCGTTAAACAACTAACCACACATACAATGCCATAACTGATACAATCTGAGTGTTGCCTTTTTCATAAACAATGTTTGCCTTAATAAATAAATGACATTAGACTTAACAGGTTCCACCTGTCTAGATATCACACCAATAGACTGTAATTGTATGACCACTGTTGTATCTGAATAATATCATGCATATTTCTTATCATAAAGGGGGACAACGCCAAGCTATCGCTGACACTGGATTCATATTCATCGATGTACTTCGAGATTGTCCCGTCCACTGTCCAGGGGTCCACAAACCTGCTGATCAGAGTGAAGGATAACATCGTCCTGGATTATGAACAGAGACAGAGCATTACACTGACGGTAACACAACGTACATAGCTACGCAAATAAAACCATGGTGTCTTTTATAGCATTGACGTGTTGCGAGCTACAACATATTAGCTCTCCTACGTGACATTGGAGTGGTGTTGAAATGGAACACTGAAACAGTTAAGGAGTGACACCCATGTAAGCCAAATCATCATCTACATCCTCATAATAGATAGGTCTCGGGTTGTTATACTTTATATAGAGGTAACGTATTCATTTCTCTAACGAGTTTTGCACAGTTTCAGCTGATCGTTATTAAACATTATGATCAGTGTTGACTGGCGCTGCGTTTTATGCTAGACAATATAACAGACTTTATATTTACACATATCACCAGCATAGAAATGTATGTTACTTCCTTGAGATTATTGGTAGTGGAGTGGATGATACACTCTTCATAGATGTATTACATTCTCCCGGTATACAATGAGGCTCCACTACAATATCATTATGATTCTATTCTTTGAGCAAATCATCTTTACCCTGTAAATATCCAGGCTTGGGCCAATGAAACCTCCACACGAGAGAGAAACAGTGCATCTACCACCATTCAGCTGAATATAACAAATCAGAATGACAACATTCCCAACTTTACCGTGTCAGAATACAGCGCATCTGTCCGGGAGGGTAGCAGCGTCTCCACATCTGTCATCAGCGTCAAGGTATTTGTAACAATGTAACATGTAACTTCACGCACACTGCCTACATCATCTGTCCAGGAGGGTAGCAGCGTCTCCACATCTGTCATCAGCGTCAAGGTATTTGTAACAATGTAACATGTAACTTCACGCACACTGCCTACAGCATCTGTCCAGGAGGGTAGCAGCGTCTCCACATCTGTCATCAGCGTCAAGGTATTTGTAACCATGTAACATTTAATTCCAACCACACTGCCTCTGTCCGGGAGGGTTGTACTGTCTAGACATCTGTCGTAACAGTGACGGCATATGTACCGTGTTAACCAGTTCTAAACCAATACTGGCCACACCACCTCTACCTCTACATTTGTCATGACCAAGACGGAATGTGATGTCATGACATCAATCAGTCGTTTGTCATTACTGTTTTTGTACGTTCCGCTGTCATATATACTCAAAGGCAAAAGTTATTGTGATTGACTTGAAGTAAGATATGTGAATTAACAACTGATATGTTTATGTTATCCTCCCCATTACGTGCCAGACGTAGTCGATAAGGGACAGATCTGGGATTTATCGAACCAGGGTTGACCGTTGACTGCGCCAAGAATGGCTGAACCCCGCTGGCGAAAGGAGGTCTGGCATTGCCCTGCTGGAAGATCATTCCTGGACCATTCTGCTGGAGAGATGGTATGACGACTGGATAAATAAATTGGTCTCTGTACCTGAGACTCGTTAAATGTCCATTGGTGGCAAGCAAAGGTGTACGTCCAGCAATCGTTATCCAATCCCAAACCATCATTCTACTGAGGCCAAAACAATCGACCTGAAGGACACAGTTCCTAATATAATGCTCACCACGTCGCCGGTAAACTCGGGTTCGGCCTTCATCTTGATGCAGGAAGAATCTGGACTCGTCAGTGAAGAGAACATGTCGCCATCCACGTGTTCTCCATCGCAGATGTTACCTGCACCACTGCAGTCGTAGACGTTGGTGACGTAATGTCAGAATTTGTCGTCTGGCAGGACGTCTAGCACGTATTCCGTGTCCGACGAATGGTCCTTGTCGATATGCTACTGACACAAGAAACTGTTTGGGCTGTCAGTGTGGCTGGTAGGAATCTTTATCGCAGAACCTGTTGCGTGGTAACAGGTGGACGGCCACATCGCGATCGGGGACGGTCTGATAACGTTTCCACAAGCGGTGTACGGTGTTCCTATGCACGTTAAACTGCTGTTTCAAGCATTCCAGTGGCTCGCCATCATTCCTTTTCAGTAGAGACGTAGCATAGAGAAATGCAAGCAGATTCTTCCAAATTTGTGTTTTTCGGACCCGTTGACGTCTACACAATGGCTTTGGTGACAATGATTCGAGCTTTAGACCCACCCTTTTAAAGGGCATATTTTATGCCTATTTTCTTCGGACTTCTTGAAAGCACGAAAACGCATGCAACCACTGACAGGGCCCTGTTGGGTGATGGATTAAGTGTAAAATAAAGAATAGTAAAATACATTATAAGACAAACCTTTGCCTTTGAGTATAGTTTGGGCATTTCTTAGTATTGTGATAAACAAGACGAACTGTACAAAATGGCACCCACGTATGTTGCAAACGACTTATCATAATTCGGGAATTGGACTCCCCGATCAGCGGATCCTTGAAAAGGATATAATTCTAAAGTAAAACCACTGTCACACATGTGTTCTGTAACGTGAAACAAAGAATATCAATACTGTGACACGTATTTCAGTTCATTCTGTCAATGCTACTCTTTTCAGGCTATAGACAGGGATCTGCCGAACTTCGGATTTGTATCTTATGCACTACGGGATGGCGACGGAATGTAAGCATCCATGTAATTGTGTGTTTGAACGCATAGTTTTCGCATTAGTGAAATATTCACATGCTACCAGCGAGTAACAACCTACCTTGATTGTTACTCCACAATATGTTTGTGTCTCACGATCTCTTGCTCGTCTTGATATCTTGTGTCTCCTGATCTCTTGTGCCTCCCGACCTCTTGTGTCCCCTGATCTCTTGTGAGTCTGAATCTCTTCTGTCTCCTGATCTCTTGTGTCTCTTAATATCTTGTTCGTCTTGATATCTTCTTGTCTCCTGATATCTTGGGTCTCTTGATTTCTTGTTCGTCTTAATGTCTTGTGTCTCCTGATCTCTTGTGTCTGTCGATCTCTTTGAGCCTCCCGGGCGCTTGTGTCTCACGATCTCTTTGTGTCTCTTGATATCTTGTGTCTATCGTTCTCTTGAGTCTCCCAAGCTCTTTTTGTCTTTTGATGTCTTGTGCCTCCTGATCTATTGTGTGTCTGGATCTCTTCCGTCTCCTGATCTCTTGTACGTGTGTATGTGTGGTATATACGGTATATTTTTCTTGTATATGTTTATCGCATTATTTCCTGTATGTACTGTATATAACGTATATATTATTTGTATGCATTGAATGTATTGCATGTATTTATTGTACGTGTTAACTGGTAGATTGTTGGTTTGCATCATGTGCGTATAGATGTATGCATATTAATAAACTCTTCAAAAGGCTAAAAATAAGGAAATGTATTAAACGTATTAAGTCGTCTGATTTTTGCTTGAGGAATTCTTCGCCATTCCTCCTGCAACGCGTTGGCAAACCTCTGCAAATGTCTGGGGACAACGGCGACGATGTTGACGCGTCGATCAAGTCCGTCCCATAAGGCTCGATAGGGTTCAAATCAGGCGATTTGGAAGGCCAGGGAAGGACATTGACGTTTGCTGTGGCGAGATAGGCACCTGTTACACGAGCTATGTGGGGTTGAGTGTTGTCAGGTTGAAACAGCTCCCTCTGGCGGTTAACAATTTGTTGAGGTCGCAGGATTTGGGCTATGTAGCAATTTGCTGTAAAATTGCCTTGAACCACCACTAGCTCTGATCTACCCTTGTAGGACGTGATCCCCCACACCTTGAAGCTGTCTCCACCAAATCTGTCCTCCTTTCGAACGCAGTTTTGCGCAAAACGGTCTTGTTGACGTTCGTCGTTGCAGGAGGAAACGCGATTCCTCACCGAACCAAACGCGTCCCCAGTTCCCCAGGTACCATGCCTGTACCCTGTTGCACCATTGGACACATTGTTGCCTGTGTAGTCGCGTCAGGACAGGTCCAATGTTCGGTCGATGTGTTTGAATTGTCACTTCTCTCAGACGATTTCTGATGGTTTGGTCGGAAATCCTTCAGGCACCTGTCCTGCAATGTTCGTTGCTGTAGCAAATCGGTGACTTAGGAGAAACACCCGGATGAATCGGTACTGAGCAGGAGTGGCCACTCTTGGTCTTCCACTTCTTTGACGATCTTAGGTCGAATCGAACCGGATATATCGATGCCATAATCGAGATAGGGTGTGTTTTGGACGTTGGAGTCTTGCAACGGCAGACTGGAACTGTCCTGCTTCCAATTGTTCAATGGCGATATTTCGGTCAGTGGCATTCAACCTTGGCATTTTTATCTTTGTTTAGTCGTTAATTGTGTAATTAAAAGATGAGTTTGGTTTGGCCTTTTATATATCAATGTCTATACTATTGTTTCCGACACATTGCACGTGCATTACGTGGAAAACTTTTTTCTGCATGCACTTTCCATGTATCATTTTCTATGCCAAACATTTAGAGAAACATTTTGGGATGCGTTTATGCGCAGTGCACAAACAACCACGACACGATTAACGGGATTCAACCATATGACAAATGACGACTGCTGTCAAAATATATCGAAATGAAATGCTGAAAACGCCTGTCCGTTTCTTTTTTTTCAACAGTGTACATGAGAATATTAATATGCTACACATTTGTATCTGAATATATTCGTTTCTGCAACATCTCTGTTCAAGGTTCTCCATTCATTCCTCTGGTCTCGTAACTGTGGCCTCTGACCAGCTGGACAGAGAGACCAAGTCTGTGTACTACATATCGGTGGAGGCCACAGACCCCGGAGGATTGAAGGACACTGCTGAGCTCACTGTCAGCATCACGGACGTCAACGATAATGCACCGGTATTCAGAAGAGACTACGACGAGTATTTGAAAGAAAATGAAACCGCCTTTAGTAGACCCATTATTGTATCGGTGAGTTTACCAAATGCAAGGTATTGTGCGCAAGTTCATGTTAGCTGTTCGTTCATAGTTTAAAACTAACGATATTTTGTTTCTACATGTTGTTAAATCTACCAGTGACCGATTAATGCAGTCACGTTTTTATCTGGACACCTTTTTATCGCCAACAAGCATCTATAATAAAAGTTATGGAAATGAATACGTGGATGCAAAAAGGACATTTTCCTCAATACAAATTACATACCTTTTACGTCTTTCTACCTTTACTATGATGACATTGTCTACATTTACTTCCTCTTCAGTTCCCTCACGAAACTAGTATAGCAGTACTCAGTGATTTTACTAAGCGTATTTTCAGTCAGAGACAACAAAAGTGGAAACATCTTCAGAAAAAATATTTTTAGGTTCTCAAGGAATATGTGTGTGTATATAGTTCATATAATAGCAAACTGGAATAAAATATGTTTTTCATAATCAAAGTTAACGCTTAAAAGGTGAGGTGGGGTGAGTGAAATTGGGTTTAACGTCGTGCTTGAGAATATTTCGCTCATATGACGACGTGCATGCGTGTGTATGTGTATGTGCGGCTGCTTTAACTAGCCCAGACTGAAGCTGGTTTTATAGTGCTAGCCCACTGAGATCCCGCGCCACAGTTAAGCATGAATACCACACTCAGACACATTATACTGACTCCGAGCCGACCAGTCCTTGTTGTAGCCATTAAGTACCATATTTTAACGTCTTTTGGTATGACGCGGTCGGGGATCGAACCCGCGACCTTCCGCACTCCCGGGCGGACGCTCTAACCACTTCACCACGGTGGCGGTCTAACGCTTAAAAGCGATTTAAACAGCGCAACACCAACGCTAATAGTATACATATATTAACCTTATCCTCCAAAGGCCACAGACGCTGACATTGGAGTCAATGCCCAGGTGAGGTACAGCATCAGCTGGACCTACCCCATCGGCCTCGACTCCCACTTCGCCGTGGATGGTGTCACCGGTGTCCTCTCCGTGGTCGTTCCTCTCATGAACAGTGACACTAGCCAGGTTGTTGTATCGGTGCGGGCCACGGACTCTGGCACACCTCCACTATTCTCTGATGTTAACGTTACAATTAGTCTCCTGGTGGGTATCATGCGTCACATCTGGATATATATCATATGTCATATCTGGATATATATCATATGTCATATCTGGATATATACATTCATTCACATATTTCAATTTATGATTGAAAAATAATTGAGTTATATCGGAGTCAATCAATGTTGATATGATAGCAATGAATGCTTTGAGAGTGCATCGCCACATTAGCACTTCCTTATGACCATAGTTGTTTGTACAGTAATCGCTCTACAGTGATTTATCGACCTTCTTGAATGACGTCAGAATCAGGAATGACACCCCATGCATGTGTATGGGGATACTTCGTTGTGCACGTGCATCCCATGCGTTGTGTTAAGGGGTGGTGATACCGAGAAATGGTGTTGCGTTCATAAGATGTCTGTCTTTGAAAAGTTTATTAACGCTTAATAATCTTCCTATCCAAATTGAAAGTTCAGGTTCCCCTTCCTTTTCAAGAGTAAATATATGCGTAACACTATTAATGTTCCATTTTCCCAGGGACCAGAAATATGTAGTAAAAGAATTAGATGTCAAACCAAATGTTTTGAATTATCTATTGTATCATGAAATCAAATGGGTTTACAAATCAATGCATATTAATGTAAAGTAATGACCAAGACAGTACAGTTACAAAGGCAATAGGATATAAAATAGCAGTGGTATATGTAATGAAATAGGTGACAATAGTGTTCTCCAAGCAGCAACAGTGGTCAAGCTTACGAACCAGTGCCTAGATTTTCGAAGCTCTCTTAGCGCTAAGATAGTCGTAAGTTAATGTTAATGTATGGCACTTACGACTATCTTAGCGCTAAGAGAGCTTCGAAAATCTAGGCCCAGGCCTAGGCTGGATGACCAGGATAAACGTAACAGTCTTCCCAGACTACTGGTCTTGAAGTGAGTGAGTTTAGTTTTACGCCGCACTCAGCAATATTCCAGCTATATGGCGGACTGGTCTTGAAAATGAGATGAGATGTAAATGTGCGTGTCTAAATGCCGTCTAGGAGGTTTTAACTTTATGTTGTATTAGTTGATGAGTTCTAGAAACTGCTCTATTACTTTTGACTCCAAGTCTAAAAATAGTAACAAACACACCACTTACCACTCCTGGGTCTTAACAACCAATGTAGTACAATTGCATCACTGTTTCACGATGAATTACACTGTCACATTATAATATGAAACATTTTTTCACAGACACCTGCACGAACATGTAGAGAAACAGGTAAATTATACCGGAAATGCAATTTGTCATGGATTGGGTATACATGTATTTTTCAGTATTTCAGCTGGGAAATAGAGAGAATTGAATGTGATATTGCTAAAAATAATTTTAACTTCGAGCTTTCGTATCGCTGATATCATGTTTGCAGGAATGAATGAGTTCGAACTAGGTTCTTTTGCGTCACGAACGAAAGCTTTAAACAGTAGGCTGCACCACTGCCTCCTTATCAGGAAGTAAAATATCCGTTGATTTCGTTTTTTGTTTATATCTAGAATGGGAAAATAATGAGTGAGTGAGTGAGTTTGGTTTTACGCCACCTTTAGAAATATTCCAGCAATATCACGGCGGAGGACACCAGAAATGGGCTTAACACATTGTACCCATGTGGGGAATCGAG